TTCAGTTAGTTAGATAATCAATATCCTTCATGTGTGTCTGTGCTAAACAGAGGAGGCAGAGAGGAGCTCCTGAACAAGTTCGATTTTAGATCCTTTTGAATGGGAGGTTTTTTATTGGTTTAACATTTAAATTGTTTTTTAGCAGCTTGGTTAGAATATTTATTATTTATCTATTTATTTTCCAGACAGTCCTGTTACAATCCTGATTTTCTTTTCATGCTTTCATGAGGAGCAGCTCCTCTCTTTAAGGAGTCTCCAGGAGCAGCTCCTTTCTTCTGGTTCCTGCTTTCATCCAGTTCCTGACCCATTGTGGGAGCTCTGGAGGTTCAGCTGCTGGTAGATAACTGACAGGGTAGCTTTATTTTGATCATTTTAGCTCTATCTTTGCTCTATTTTGGTCATTTTAGCTCTATTTTTAGCTTTGTTTTTGCTTTTTTGGCTTTATTTTTTGGTCGATTTGAGCTTTTTCTTAGCTTTTTTGGCTTTGTTCTGGTCTTTTTAGCTATGTTTTAGCTTTTTTTCATTGTAATTTTGGTCATTATAGCTTTGTTTTTGCTTTTTGATTGTATTTTTGTCCATTTTTAGTGTTGTTTTAGCTTTTTTGGCTTTAGTTTTTGGTCAGTTTGAGCTTTTGTTAGGTTTTTTTGGCTTTGTTTTGGTCTCTTTAGCTGTATTTCAGCTTTTTCGTTGTATTTTTGGTCATTTTAAGCCTTGTTTTTGCATTTTTTGGTGTAAAACTCAGAGTGAGGATCCATCCCTCCATCAGAGCTGGGGTTCAGTCCACTTCTGGTTCCTCTGGCAGAGCTCAGCTTTCCTCCTGTCTCCTTCCTTCAGAGTGGCTTTCTGACTGCTTGTAACAAAGTGCCTACATTCAAACTTGGTGTCCTCAGCTTCTTTAGTCCACTTGGCTGTTTCTGTCAAATTTATAATCAACTGGATCATAAAGACACCTCACCTGGTTTTCTGTAATTAGATTTTGTTCAGGAGTTCTTTGGAAAACAAGTAATGGAGGTTAGAGATTTCCCGATCCGATCCCTACCTATCAGAGCATGTATTAAAGTTTAAAGTTATTTATCTACTTACTTAGTTGTCACACTCATGTTGAGCAGGAATTTAATGATTAATGGTTAGGACACAGAGCTGTGGGTCTGGAGATGCTAAGGCTAATGCTAAAGGCTGTACTGGAAAATGACCAGATATTAGGGAACAATACAGCAAAGTGGAATAGATTATTTTAATCGGTGTGCTGGAAAACATGGATCTGACTTTGTTTGTTTTTTTAAACTGGATCTGGAGTCTGGATCAGTTTCTAGTAGAAACCGAATGGGACACCTCCTGGCTCACACCGACCTTAAAACATCCTTAGACCATCAGCAGTCTGAAACGACTACTAAAGCTCCTCAATTTGATTGCCAAAAGTCCTCGACAAACTCTTTTTTTAATGCGAATAAAGGGAAGACGCCTCCAGCTTCTGCTCAAACAGCAGAGAGCAATGCTGCATCAAGTTATTTCAGGCTACATGGGACCCTTTTCTTAGATATTTTGACTCTTTGAATATTCTTGACCCTGAGGACACTTGAATGTTTAACATGATCTCTACTTATCTATCTACATATACATTCATGTTTACCCTTTTTTGATCCGTTTTTCTCTTTATACTTTTTATTTATTTATACATTTTTTTAATTATCATTTTAATTTTTTTTTAAAATTTATTTATTGTATTATTTATTCATTTGTTTATTTGTTTATTTATTTATTTTTTGACCTGTGGGTGGTCAGGGTGGATTGGGGGTTGACAGAACTGTGACATTTCGATTGTATTGACACTTTGAATTTGTCCCAACAATGTCTGTCTTATGTTCAAAATGTTCAATAGACAAAGTTAAAAAAAACAAACAAACAGCAGAGAGCCAGAGGATGGTGTATTTCCTTCTCCTCTTTGGAGGAAAACTGAGTCTAACCTGAACGGTTTCTGTGTGCCAGTACCTGGCCGTGGACGTGAAGAGGCTGAACGCCAGCCTGCTTCGCTGGTTTCGAGAAGGCGTGGCGGCTTCGCTGGGAGTTCCTGTGAGCCACGTTCACATCAACCGGCTGAATGTAAGTCGCACGCCTCCAGCCTGTAGGAGCCTCGGTTAGATATCCAAGTCCTCCCACGTCCAAGTCGGCCATTTTGATTAGGTCATGTGACTAGCAGCTTTCTGAGGTTGAAACGAAACTTTACTGTCTATATGAAATAAAAGACAAACGTTGTCCTAACCCTGACCCTAACCCTCCAGCCTAACCCTAAACTTAACCCTGACACTGACCCTAATCCTAAACTTAAACCTAACCCTGACCCTGACCCTAAACTTAAACCTAACCCTGACCCTAATCCTAAACTTAACCCCTAAACCTAACCCTGACACTAATCCTAAACCTAACCCTGACCCTGACCCTAACCCTAAACTTGACCCTAACCCTAAACTTAACCCTAACCTTGACCCTAACCCTGACCCTAACCCTAAACTTAACCCTAACCCTAACCCTAAACTTAACCCTAACCTTGACCCTAACCCTGACCCTAACCCTAAACTTAACCCTAACCCTAACCCTAAACTTAACCCTAACCCTGACCCTGACCCTAACCCTAAACTTAACCCTAGCCCTGACCCTAACCCTAACCCTTCAGCCTTCATAATTGTGAGAAATAAATATTTTTGGTTAAACTTGTTTGGACTTATTGTAAAAACCTATTTAACATCCACTATTTTAACATAATATTATGGATAGAGTTTAATTCAGTGTTTGCAAGATTCATTTCACTATTTTTAAATTAATGTCTATATTGCCATGAAGCAATTAGGATTTTCTTGCCTGGGATCTTCCTATTGGTGACCTAATCAAAATGGCCAATGTGGGTGGAGTTGGATCTCCATCCTTTGCTTCCTGCAGCCAGATGGACTTGACTTCTCTCTGTTCCAGGAGGAGAAAAATGGCATCCAGCTCTTCGTGTCCTCTGATAGGCTGGGCCTCTCGGAGCCCCGCCCAGCTGAGGAGGTCATCCAATCACTGAACGTCCGGGTGCTCCATCGCCACCTGGGGCACTTCGGCATCACCGAGGTCTCCACCGAGGTGAGTCTGAGGGAGAGAAGTGGCTTCTGGATTTGGGTTATTTAGGTTTAAACTTTAATGGGACCATTAAAGTCCCATCAGTCAGCAGGAGGACGAGCCGGTTCAGATCTGACTGGTGGAATGAGATATGAAACTTTAATGAAGTCAAACATAAATTCAGGTTTTCTACTGAGTTTCTCCACTTTACTTTTTTTTTAAATCATCTGATATTTCTACAAACCCTAACATGAGTTTTTAATGTGAGAATGCCATCCTGTTTCCCATTTTCTGCGTCTAACTACACCCACATTTTTCAGCCTATTTCGACAAATAAGTTATCAAAATTTGCAAATTTTTGCTTTTATTTTCTCTCACTAAAATGAATGGAGTCAAAAGCCTGAGGTATAGCTCAGTGGTAGAGCGCTGGTTCAAATCCCACTCAAATCTTCTTGTACCTTATTGATCACTTAATGGCTTTTTACTCTTTACTCTTCTTCTAATCCTTTTGCCTTTCTTCTTCCACTCTTTAGTTCTTTTAATCTTTTTGCCAGTCTTATTAAACTCTTCAGTTCTATGTCTTTTTCAGCTTTTCTTTGGCTTCTTCTTCTTCAGCCTTTTACTACTTCTGTATGAAAAGAAATGATAACTTCTTCTTTAGTTTGGAAATCTTATAAATCATTCAAAAAAGAAAGCTGCCAGTCGTTTGTGTCTGATCTCAGACTGTTTCAGTAGCTGGTGTTAAAACCTCCTGAATCTTTTCTCCGTGCAGAAAAACGTCCTGCAGGGCGAGGCGAGGGAGCAGGTGTGGAGCAGAGAGGGCTTTTACGTTGTTGTCCTCTTCCTCACTCTCTTCATCATCGTCATCACCTGCTTGATGGTAAGTTACAGCTTCTCCTACACAAAAACACACCAGCTGGACGCCCAATAAAAGTCAGTTTAACAAACCAAAGCACCAAACAGAACCCGAAACCTTTCAGTTCATCTGCAAGAGATTAAACAAAAAAGAAGGACTATGATAAGTAAATATTTTGAGGAATCGTTTAATTTAAAATTTCATAGAAATAAATGTAGATATCTTTAAGAAATTAATGAAAAATATACACAGTAAATGAATTATTAGAAGAAAACTAGACATAGAAACTATAGATCAGTGATTAATGGCAATCAACCTGAAAAAATCTTAAAGCATGACCAGAAAATGTGAGTATGGTGGTTTAATTTTAAATAATTGTCTTAGTCCATCTGAGGAATTAAGAAATAAAAATTTATGAAGAAGCAAAACTATCATGGCAGTCCCCAAGACAAAGCCTGAGAGATTTTTTTCTCTCAAACTTTAAATTCCCAGAGAACTAAAGAGAAGCATCTTCCTCTAAACAGAATCACCAGAGAAAAATTCCCAGACAACTTCACAAATTGATTAAACAAATATCTTTTCAACCACAACGTCTTCATATTAAGACATTCAAAACAAATACATTTTTTTCTGTCATTAGACAACCTGAACTCTGACCTTTGACCTCAGCTGCTCTGAGTGGATAAGTCTGCCTCAGGCCTATTTATACCTGAGATCAAAGGCGGCACACTTCTGACACACTTCGGCATAAAAAGCTCATCTCATTTGTCCGATTAGTGTCTCCTCATTCCTCCGTCCTCAGGATCCTGGTTTGAAACTTATCCGCTGCCATAAATGTGGTTAAACGTATATTATTGCTATGTATAAGCATCTCTCAGGTTGTTATGGTAAAGCCACCAAGCATTTTCACCTGATTTACAATGCTTAGCTTTAATTATGAGGACAATTGATCATTTTTTAGGTTTAAAATAAAAAGTCTTAAGTCTTGCATAATAGAAATGAAAATAAACTAACAAACTGCACATCCTGTATTTAGAATAGCAGATTGTACATAGTTTAGAAAAGATCAAGGCTGGAAAAAAAACTTGAAAAAAGACATATAAAAGGATAAATATTAATTCCTCTTAAGCAAAAATTTGCTGAAGACAGACATTGATATTGCACTAAGTTGCAGTTTGGTGTTTTATCCACAGGAGGGCGCTCCTGCACCCAGTGGCTCCCTTATGTAATGTTTATCTCCCATTTCCCTCCTTTCACAGTTTACCTGTTTATCCTGGATTGTGTTCAGCTCTGAACGATTCAGATCAGAACAGACACACCAGAGAAAGGAGTGTCATGCTAGGACTTTTATTAGTTTTCATTCGTTTTATACGTTTTTTATTCAAGCTGTGGAGCAAACGCTATTCTGTCTTGTTTGTTCGGATTGAAATTATTATTTAGATCCACCAGTATCTAAAAATACAAAATAAATACAAAAAAACGTAATTTATATAATTCCTGAAATCAAATCATTACTTTTTATCAGAGTATTCAACATTATCATAATGTTTTCCTTCCCCAGATTGATTCTTTATCCCCGTTTGTTTTTTCCTCAGGTTTTATATCGAATAAAGGAGAAGGTCCAGGTTTCTGAGAGGCAGCTTAAAGCTCTGCCCCCGGACCTCCACCTGAGCCCAACCGTCCCTCCAGACTCCGCCCAGAGATCAAAGGGCCCCAAGGTTTGCTCCCCCCCCCCAAACCCCCCCCCCCCCCCCCAATAGAAAAGTCTCTAAACGCCACCAGGTCTGTTTCCCAGGCTGTGAGGTCAGGAAGCATGGTCCAAGCTGAGCTGCCTCCAGCTGTAACCACGCCCACTCTCCAGCAGCAGCCAATCACAGCCCGCCGCTGCCTCGCTCCACCTGTCGCTCCTCTGCCCAGGTGAGTGGGCAAACCCGCCTCCCGCCGTTTCCATAGAGACAGACGAGGCCAGACGGGGGGAAACTAAAGCCAAACTCAAGTTTTCGAGCATGA